GCCTGGGTTCCCCCCCCGCCGCCCCTCCCGGGAGCCTCCCGCGCGCGCCGCTGCATCCTCATCCCCAAAGCTACCTGCTGCTTGCCGCCCCCGCCTATGCCGAAGCGCCTAGAAAAGCCGAAGATGCGGACCCGGCCACGTCCCGCGCCATCCCCGCGCTGCAACCCGCGCTGGGCTTCCAGCCTTGGGACCGGGACGAGGGCTCGGGATCTCCGCCCGGACGCGGCTCGTTCACCATCGAGAGTATCATGCAGGGCGTTACTGGGGCTGCACAGAGTCCGCCCTCCGCTCCGTGGAGCTACTGCCACCTGCTGCAGCATCCGTCGTGCCCGCTGCACCCTCAGGTCGTTCCCCCACTGCTGCAAGTGTCTGCCACTGCCCTGACAGTCTTTCAGCAGCAGCAGCAGCCTCAGCAGGAGCAGCAGCACTGTGCCAGGAGCTGCGCCCCGGGTAAAGGCGCGCGGCTGGGCCGGCACCTAACGGCCGTTGCAGCGTTGCTGAGACATCAGCCTGCCAGTGAGGAATGCAGACTGACAACTCTGGCTGCTCTTTCGGGCAGAGAGGAGACCTTGCCTGCTTTTTAAACAACATGCTCGCCCCAGGCTCCGGGCTGATTCACCCTGACACACCTGGAGCCAAGTGGCAGGGTGGGACCACTCGCTGTCTAGGTTTGCACCACCCGCCTGCTAGGCTTGTGCGTGGAAAACCAGCAGCGGAGCATGCAGCAAGTCCCGCCAAACCGTTACTACTGTGTTCTGCTCCCTTGATGACCGAACTCAGGGAAATCTAGGGGCTTGAAGTCTCGCCTTTTCTTGTCCGCTTCAGTGTGACTTCTGCAGCTTTTCCGATTTGCATACATACTTCCCAGGAACCTATGAACGAAGAACGTGAGCGAGATGTTTGGTTGTTAATAAACAGAACAGCTGGCAACACAAAAACACCCCCAAACTTCATTCCCTAGGGACTGCAAGTGTTCCCCAGTCAAGTGCAGAATGCATATATGCCCTGATTCCCAAAATCCGTATGTAATAGAAATAGAGTAATTTCAAAACATGTTTTTCTTGTATATGTGATGTGCCCTACTTCAGTGGGGAGTGTTGAAATTAAGCCTAGTCGTATAGATTGAATAAAATACTAAGTCGGGATGCTACATCGCTTGTTTCCTATTATGTCTCTTTATTCGCTTTCATAATTGGCATTTCGTTTGGAATTTAAATTTTTATCTCACAATTCGTTTTTATGCTTTATGTCACTTATAGATATCAGGAATTTTAAGTATGGACTTTAAAAAATTCCCAGTATTTGTGGACAAAAGTTCATCTTATAAAATAGTTTTAGTACTTACAAAACTTCTAGAAGGAAAATAATTAGAGGAATTAATAAACCTCCATTTTCTCCCTTCCTTCCTTCCTTTCTTCCTTCCTTCCTTCCTTCCTTCCTTCCTTCCTTCCTTCCTTCCTTCTTCCTTTTGTTCTTTGAAAGGGAGGTTTCCGCTGTGTAGCTCTTCGTGGCCTGGAATCAGCTATCTTCCTATTCCAGCCCCCAGAATTCTTAGTATGCTCTATTATGCCGACTTTATTCGTTATTTTTCTAAAGTTGATTTTTCCCCTGAGATATTCAGGAGGATGACTGGAGATCGATTTGAAACAAAGCGTTATCTACTCTTGGAAAATAAACGGCTATCAGGTATATTAAAACACTAGTATTTTAATGGCCTTTTTCCTTAAAAAATAATTTCTGAGAGGCCTTTGCAACAGTGATTCAGCTTCAGGGTGCAAGTAAAACAAGACAATGCCCATCACCTACGACTGCCGGAGAAGGCGGGATTTTAGCGGTTGGGTCAATGGTAAGAGGGTTCTGTAATTCGTGGCTTTGGGGGAAAGTCACCCTGAGAAGAGGAAACTGTCTGTGCTCCCCACTCTTTGCAACGAAATCCACATTTCCTTGCTTACACTCCATAGCCCAGAACTCCTACAGTTCACCCAACCCGATACCCCACAACCCTGAGTTGAGTGCTTTGTGGCGCCTTCTGGAAAGTTCCTAAACTCAGACCTTGGTAGAGCTTTGAGCATTCAAACGAACAGCTCTCCTCCTCTTGGCCCCTGGCCCTTGGCCTCTCAGTACCAGCCCTTCGGTGGCCAGCAGCAGTGTGAGTTTAGAGGCAAATTAAAAAAGCGAAGGGTCCTCTTTCCCACTTCTCTGCAGTTCTGCTTTGCTCATTGGGCAAAGACGTCCCGAGCCTGGCCACCTTCAGCTTTTCAGTTAACACTGAAAACCCCCCACCCCCGCCCCATCGTCCGGACCCTGGGTAGGAATGATTCCTGGCTGGGCTCCAGAGCACGGAATTCCCATTCCTATCGCGCCCAAACCTGGCCCAGCAGGAGGCTGAGCGGCTGGAGTCTGGTCCAGACCAGTCCCTGAATTGTAACGCTTTTCTATTGAAACTGTAACAAGGCCAGAATTCCCAAGACGTTTGCTGGAATGGCTGGTAAGATGAAGGTCGTTCCAGGAGTCCATTGGACCATAGCGCCCTGAGGACTGGGACAGCTCCAACCTCCTCCGGGTGCGATCTGCCCAGTTGGCGGGGGAGCAAGGGACCTGAGAACCCACAGGAACCCCGCGCACCAGCAGTGACGCAGGCAGCCTGGGCGTCCCCATGGTGCCAAGTCCTTGGAGTATTCAGGGGCGCGTGGCTGGGACGCTGCGTGATCAGTCTGGTCACCTGCATCTTCTCCTTCAGGGCCATGCGGAGCCCCAGCCCGCCGTTCTGGATTACACAGGTGGGCGTCTTGGGCTGGACTTTAAAAACCACGTGGCTTCTGAGACCCTGAAGGTTGGAGGGTCTAGTTGTGGACAGACTGACCGGATGTGCGCAGAACAGAACCTAGTGCGGGCCACTCCCACCAGCATCAGCGTGCTGGAGGGAGCTGTCACAGCCTCTGCCTTCTAGCTGCTCTGGTACATTCACTGAAGAACACTCGCTGTAGAACCCCACGGTTTGCAGAGAACTTTCAAGTAGGAGAAATTGTCTCCTAAGGATCCTCGGGTGGCAGCGTCAGGACCCATGTGGTTTCTAACTCACGAATTCTTCACCACGTATGAACTCTTCACGCACGTGCAGCCTCTTGCCCGGGCCTCCTAGAGGTCTCAAGGTCAAGACAAGGAGCCGATCAGGTCACTAGTACCGAAGTAGCTGGGAAGGAATCAGGAAAGAATCCAAGGAACTCATCTCATTTCCTAGATTTTGTTCCGGTTCCTCCTGATGGTCCCTAAGAACCCTGGAGTAGGAGAGATTTCCCCAACTCCTAACCCACATGCCCAGAGCCAGTTTGAAACCTGAGTTCAAAGGACCAGTGGGTGAGAAAGTTTCTCAAGTGCCCAGTCCTTATCACAAACGAACAACCACGTTATCTACTGGACAGAGTTTAGGATCCTGAAACTGCTTTCATCTTTAGACTGCAGACATCAGCCACCAATACTCCTTTGGTTTAGATTCTGTGACAGATGATAGGCAGAGTATGGCCGCGCCAGAAATGAGGGGAAAACACTGGCCTCAACAGACTGGCAGCGAGATGAAACTATCGGTGTCTTCTAAAATGGGACCCGTGGGACTGTTCAGCATTTACAGAGAATGTTAGGAAAACTTTCCGACATCAACATAGATGACAATCTGCAGGGAAATGCTGCTTGGATTCCTCCACCTCCACCCCCGACAACAGCCTTGAGATTATTTCAATGCCTTTTAAGCTTTGGTTGAATTCATACGTGTGGGGCACTAACTGAAAAGAGTTAGTTCAGGTGATAATCGTACCAAAATTGACTTCCCACAAAAGCAAAGCTTACAGGAAGGAAAAGAGCAAGCATTTGAGACCACAGTGTGAAAATTCACATCTCCTCTGCTCAAGTCCCTTAACAAGCTGAGGGTATCTGGACATAAACCCAGCTCAGCTCCTTTTCCATAGGGTGCAGGCATGTGTGTACTGCAGGCAGTAACTAAGAATGTTTTAGGAAGGTTATGACTTCCTTACAGTGTAGCAGTTTCTCTTCCCCAGCCAGGCAAAGGAACAATGAGATTAAATGAAGTCTAAGAGGTATGCGTTTTTCTGTGCAGAGCTTTGAGTCTATAAAGGCAGTGCTTATGACCCACAGGTTATAAATTATGGTGACTATTATTGCTATCTGTTTTTCTTTCTGTCTATTCTTTCTTTTCCATTTCTTTCATTCTTTTTTTTTTATTTTTGAGACAGGGTCTCACTATGTAGCTCTGGCTACAGATATGTAAGTCAGGCTGGCCTGGAACTCACAGAAATTCCGCTGCCCCTGACTCCTGCGTGCTGGGATTAAAGATGTGTGCCACCACACCCAGCAGTGTGACATTTTTCAAATGCTAATTTATTCCATTGTAAAATGGGAACTTTTTTAGAAAGAACCCCGTAGCTTTCCTCTGTGATAATTATTTGTAGCATATTCTGTTGTAACTAACCCATTTCATCTTTACCATCTTACTGTTCTCACCAGATCATTTTGTGTCAAATCCAAGATCCTATCATTTCATCCATAAATATTTTTGAATATTTCTGAAGACAAGAATTTCATCAATGTAACCTTACTACTATTGTTATACCAAAATAATTGACTGACCATCAACTTATCTAGGTAATATCAAATATCCTCAATTGCCTCAAAGGAAAGTTTTAAAAAGTTTGTTAGTTTGGGCAGAGCACGGTGGTACAAACATTAGGGAGGCAGAGTAGGAAAGAACTCTAAATTCCAGGCCATCCAAGGCTACAGTAGTGACACCCTGCATCACAAAACAAAAACAAAAAACAAAGACAAAGCCAGAAAATGCAACAAAAAGCTTGTTAGTTTGAACAGTGGTGGTGAGGTGCTTACATTGGTCGGCTAGTCTCTAAGCTTTCTTTTAGGTTGCCCATCTTCTTTCATTGCCCCCAGGGACTCAGAGGCAGTTGGAAAAAGTAACTCAGACATTTAGCATTCCAGATTTTTCTGCCCACAGATTTTATTCTTATGGCAAAATATACCCAGTGATAATGCTGTTCCTATAGACTTAACAACAAAAACTACCACCAAACAAAATAAAACTAGCAAACCCAGCAACTCACCGCATTCCCCTGACTGACTTGGAATTCTGTGTAGATCTGCCTGGGCCTGAAATCACAGGGATGTTCCTGTGTCTGCCCTCCCAGTGCTGGGAGTGAAAACATGCACCAACATTCCCTGGCCTCTTCTGCCAGGTATTTACAAGCACAGGTCTTGGAAAGCTTATGCTAATTCTTCTTAAGTGTTTCTTATATTTTTAAAGATTGATTGTCATTTTGGGTGTATTTACAGACACATAAAATTACTACTCAGACACATCCTCTATAATTCAAATCTAATTTTATTTGTGAGACTACATACCTTTATTTCTTTAAATTTTTATGTTTTAGCATTTTTTGTTTTGATGGGGAATGGTCTTCTGTATATGTTTATCTTATTGGTTGATGAATAATACACTATTGGCTAACAGGGAAGCAAGATAAGCAGGACTAGGAGACAAGGAGGATTCTGGGAAGTGGAGTAGGAGAGAAGTCGCCATGTGATCCTAGGAGAGGGCACATGAGTCTGGCGTTCTTGGAAAGATAAGACCATGTAGAAATACATATATTAGTAGTTATGGTTAATACTTAAGACAGAGCTAGCCAATAAGAAATCCTAGTCACTGGCCAACAGTTTATAATTAATAAAGTGTCTTGTGTGTTATTTGGGAGCTCTGAGGTGGCTGTGGAACCTGGCAGGAGCACCATAACAATGTTTTATATTGTGTTGTGTTTTAGGATGTAAATGCTAAAATCTCAGTGATGTCATGATAAGGTAAGAACACAAATTCTGGCCCGGCATTGGTGGCGCACGCCTTTAATCCCAGCACTCGGAGGCAGAGGCAGGCAGACCTCTGTGAGTTCGAGGCCAGCCTGGTCTCCAGAGTGAGTGCCAGGATAGGCTCCAAAGCTAAAAAA